GGCGACATACAAACAAAAATAAAGCTTGTTTATGTTATTGTGCAGGTCCTACAGTGGAATGTTCAAGATATTTCATCATACAAGAAATTTTACCCTTTTTGGAAGCACAGGCTCGGTGTGCTGAATTTAATGGGACGCTGGGGAGTATTAATTCTGACGAAGCGTACTCTGCTGTGGACGCTTTCTTTGGGGAAGTTCGACCACATGTAAATGCGTGGGTTGGAGCTAAAAGAATATCCGGAGAGTACTTCTGGCTTGATGGCAGTGAGTTCAATCATGCGAAGTGGGCGAATAACCAACCCAACAACCAGGATTGTGTATACAAAGGGTAAGCAAACCAATATTGGTCGATAAAAAGTAACTAAACTATGTTATGAATTTCATAATGTTTGTGGTATACAATATGTGTATGTTGCCTGCGATTTTTCAGCCGTTTTTCATAGTTTATTTCAAGTACATACAACATAAAATCATTTAACAAAATAGCAGCAGTTCTGATTCCATTTGTCTATTGTTCAAATTTTAACTCGTTCAATTATTCAACCATCGTTCTACCTAAACAAAATGCAGATGATTTTAGTAAATATATACTAGTATATATATTGAGCAAGAGACCAGAACAGAAATAATTCAAATTTGATGAAAACAGCTTACAATATGTATTAAATAGTGTGAAAGATGGGTCGATTATGAAATAAAACATTGTTTCACGATATGTGCGATATTTTCACAGCTTTATATTTGAAACCTGTTACGCTATTTAATAAAATGACATTTATGTAACGGTGGTTGAGGTTATTCGTATATGTAGTAGAGGCGCAGAGTGAAGGAACAGTAATTACTCGTAATTTATTTCCTCTCTGGATATAAGACAGGTACATAACTGAGAATTAAATGATTTTACATACATACGGTATATTTCTTCCTGTTTATGTTACCACATATAAGTAACGTTTACACAAGTGCCAAATTGTCAAATACAAACGTAATAGGATTAGTTTAGAACAATGCGTTACGCCATGGATTAGTTTGAATATTAAGAAAGTTTGTTACAATATCACGATAACACACGTTATCACTGTTATAAATTTGGCATACAATATGCAATACGAATAAAAATTTATTTTTGATATTCTATGTTTTTCTTCTGTTCAAAATAGTTTTTACTTTGAATTTGTTATCAAGTTACCTAACTTGTCATTGTATTCATTTTTTGTAAGCGTACAGCTGTGCAATATATTGTTATACTACTACAAATAATAACAAATAATCATGAATTGTTTTATTGTAGATGGAGTACTAACCACAGATATTATACTGGTGGTTGCGGGATGACACATCCAGCCTCTCTGTGTGAAGAAAACGGTAAATTTTAATATGAAAATTACATAAATTCCACGTTATCCCTCATTTTGATGTAATGAAATACAAGTATCCGTCTGCCACTTATAACACGCGTGTTGTAACTTTCTCAGTTGAGAAAACATTATACACAAATTGACCAGCGTTATTATTTAAAAAAAAAAGAATGTCTGGAGCAGATCAGGCAACAATCTTAAAATCAATCGCAATTTCTGTCGCAACTGTCCAAACATACTATATTTTGTCCTGATCTGATTGAAGATGACCG